CTTGTCTGCTTGGACGTGGACCATATTGAACCATAATACAGGAGGAGTTTGGCTACAATGCGGAGACCCAGAAGCTTTTGTGTAAGAATGGAGAAACTCTTCTGGGAGCTGTCAACTTTTTTGTGTCCAGTATTAACACTCTGATTAACAAGACCATGGAAGACACATTAATGACTGTAAAACAATATGAGACTGCAAGGTAAACAAAGGATGTATGTATGTATAGTCCATGTAAACGATGGGAAGGGATACGCAGTCCAATGGATAAGGTCTCTGAAATCGGGATCGACAATGGGTGTAGAAAGCCATGTAGGCTGCAGGAGTGTCAGTTTAAATAATAATAACCAGTAATGATAGGAAGGCTTGTTTTAATAACCTTGTTTTCCTTTGGCGAACAGGCTAGAATATGATGCTTACCGAGCTGACCTGGAAGAACTCAGTTTAGGCCCTCGAGACGCAGTAACTCTGTGCCGCATAGAAATTGCTCAGCAAAATTTTCAGACACATCGCACTAAATATGAAAAACTGCGAGGAGATGTAACCATCAAACTTCGCTTTCTGCAGGAAAATAAGGCAAGGAAACTAAAGAATACTCTGTACACTCCATGAATAAACCACCATAATCTTTATTTACCATTCAATGATCTGGTTCTTAGTGACCATTGGCCACACTTTTCATCATAATTAGTGACCGTATTCCAACACTACACGCTGCGTCACAGATAGTGACCGTATTCCAACACTACACGCTGCGTCACAGATAGTGACCGTATTCCAACACTACACGCAGCGTCAAAGATAGTGACCGTATGCCAACACTACACGCTGCGTCGCAGATAATGACCATTTTCCAACACTACACGCAGCGTCACAGATAGTGACCGTATGCCAACACTACACGCTGGGTCACAGATAGTGACCGTATTCCTCACTGCACACTGCTTCACAGATAGTGACCGTATTTACCCACCCATTACTATAACGACACTCAGGCAGCAATGACATTTTAGTATTAGAATTACTGTATCTGTAGATAGAGATCTGTTCAGGCAGTTAGTGTATTAATAGGTTCTTAGACTGGTTCTAGCACAGCTGTTGTAATGTGGCATCTTCTCCTCTCTCCCTGCAGGTGAAAGTGATGCACAAACAGCTTCTCCTCTTCCATAACGCCATCTCCTCCTACTTCGCTGGCAATCAGCAGCATTTAGAGGCATCCCTGCAACAATTTCATATCAAGCTAAGCAGTGCGGCTAGTGACAAACCTTCATGGTTGGAGGAGCAATGAGCAGCTGCCCCCTGTTTATTTCTACGCATACAGGGATCTAACACACTCCTGTGTGTGTGTGCATGTTACATGTGACGGTGTGTATGTTGGCACGTATGTGTGTGAATGGTATGTATCTATGTGTTGCTGTGTGTGATATATTTGTATTAGCGAGTGAGTAGATATGTGTCTGTACTGCATACCATAATGTAAGCAGAGAGAGATCAGCTGATGGCTCCAGTACATTTTGCTGTCCCCCATCTGGAGTCCACCTTATTGCTGTGTAACTGAGATTATTTAAAGCTAACTCTCCCCCACCCCCTTCCCATCTAATTAAATGACTTCACGGCATCCCTCATGAATCCAACCACTACATAACACTCCATGCTTCTTCCCTCATTGGTATCCCTTCAGAATATATCCAAGAGACCAGTAGCATTGTATTGACAGCATCTTTCTTGCCTCCTTACTGTCACCCTCTGAATGCTAATTCCTTGACTGGGTCATTGGAGCTTCCTCCAACATTCAAAAGGCCCTGATTATGAACTTCCATAGCACAGGGCACTGTATAATCCTTCCATAAACACAGGATCCCCATATTAAGAGGATGCTTCAAGATAACAGTATGTGAAACCTGACCTAACCTAACATAAACCGAGCACACTACAAAGTAAAATTCACACGGCAAACCCCATTTACATCGTATATGAGTTGGACATGATCGTTTAACACTTCAGTAGTCAGCAGGTCCTCATCTCGTGTATATGGACCCCTCAGCATAACATCCCCATGTGTACACACAACCAGTATCACACTTCTGCTCTGACCATAGTTGACTTTATGATCAGTCTGTAATTCAGGGTCTCTTTGCTAAATATCAAAATTCCAGATAGTGATTGACACTATCTATAGAAATTTGGATATAGCAACATTTATTATCAGTAGGATGGCAGCAGTGTTTGTAAGGATATTAGTGTGGTAATGGTATCTACTAGTATTCTGGGTGATGTGTTGTTAGGGAAGGAAGTAATAACACTATCTATAGGTCTAGCTTAAGCTATAATTCGAGGCAATAACACCACCAAGGTCTACTGGGACAGTTCGATTGTCATTGGGGAGGGACACAGTAGTCAGGCTGTTTTTTTTTGTTGTTGTTTTTTTTGTTTTTTTTAGGAAGGACAAGGTAGTTAAACCGTCTGTAATGAAAGTCGAGATACTTGCTCAATCTGTACGGAAGGAAGAGGCAGTGTCTCAGTCTGTTAAGGAAAGACAAGATAGTTGTTTAGTCTGTAAGAAAGGACGAGGTAGTAGAGTTGTCTGTAAGGAAGGATGAGGTAATCAAGCTCTGAGTAAGGAAGGACAACGTATCCATCCACCTGTTGGAAGGAATGAGTTAGTAATGCCGTCTGCAAATAAAGACCGAGCAGTAATAATCTGTGGGCAAGGCCGAGACAGTAACACTATCTGTGAGGTTGGTAGAAGCTGTAACACTATCTATAAGATAGGCCAATAACACTATCTGTGAGGTAGGTTGAGGCTGTAACGCTTTGTGAGGAAGGCCAAGCCAGTAACATTATCTATGAATGATGTCGAGACTGTAACACTGTTTGTAAGGAAGGCCAAGCCAGTAACACGATCTATGAGGTAGGTCGAGGCTGTAACACTATCTCTGAGGAAGGTCGAGGCTGTAACACTATATGTAAGGAAGGCCAAGCCAGTAACGCAATCTTTGAGGAGTAAGGAAGGCCAAGCCAGTAACACTATTTATGAGGAAGGTCGAGGCTGTAACGCTATCTTTGAGGGAGGTTGAGATTGAAACACAACTTTTGAATGTTATGGCATAAAGTAATAGAAATGATAGAATGACACACGGCGGTAGTGCCTGGATACCATAACGCGTGGCAGTTGCTATGTGTAGACATCACTGCTTCACGTAGAGCGTAGGTGAAGTGTGGTAAAGTGAATCACCTAGAAAGTGACCGTTTTTATTAAAGTAATTTCTGCCAGTTTTCGCAGGAATATTTCATTTCACTTTTCTGCCTCTCTAAACGTGGCAGTCTTCTAAAATGAAACAGAGCATATTATGTCCTCTAATTCAACTATTTCGTACAACGGGAGAGATTGTTCAAAGTGTCACTGACCCTTCTGCATCTAATTGTTTGCAAAGATTTCCCTTCATTGATTAAATCTGTCAGGTTTTTTCATCTGTTGCTTCTTTTGCACCCTAACCATTTCTTTTTAATACCCACTAGTTTATCAGTCTTTTCCCCCACCTTTTACAGACATAATATGCTCTGTTTCATTTCGCTTTTCTTCCTCTCTAAACTTGGCAGTCTTCTAAAATGGCAGAAATTACTTTAATAAAAACGGTCACTTTCTAAGTTGACTTTAAAAAACCTTTAATAAATACGATCAAAATAATGATGGACTTTAAAGGTGACTTTTCAGAACACTTTGATAAATGTCACATTGGGTTGGTAGAATCCTTAACTTGAGTAGATAGAGGTTGCGGTGTGTGGATTGAGGTCAGTGAAGGCAGCTGTGGTGTAAAGTGTGTACAGTATGGCAAAATGTAAGAATATAACCACGATGGTCCATTGTATGTCTATGGCAGAGCATGTCCACATGGACCTGACATGCAGACAGTCTTTCCTGTGTCTGGGGCTTTTCAGGACTGGCCATGGCAGACTCATTTCTCTGAGCTTCAGTGAACCCCATCTTGAGGAAGTATTTGGCCAGGGAATTCTGGCATTGCAATATGAAGATGAATGTTTGGTTCTGGGAACATTTCTGTCAATCAAGACAAACCTAATAAAGAAATTAACTGTGTCCGTTCTGGTCTTGTGATAAAGGTTTATGGTTTTTGGAGCGCAAAAATGTGTGTCATAATGGGAGAATGATCAGGCAGCTTTATAAAATTAGTCGACTGTAAAATTGGTGGACTGCCTGTTTACATTTTATGTTTCCATTTCCAGAATTACGTATTTATGAAACAAGAAATATTGCCCAGCTTAGTTCTCGACATGTTGTTTATAATCCTTCGGTGCTATCACTTTTGGTAACACTCCAATCAGGGAGCGGCTTATCAGAATGCAAAAAAACTCCCTCTCGAAGGAAAAGAATTCCAGCTCTGAATAAGAGATTGATTAGATAAGGGTTGATGTCGAGATTTATTAATCTATTGAAAATCCTTGAATAAGCTCAAAATGTTCAATACAAGAACTGGGGCCAGGTAGACCGTGGAGGGGCGGCTCTTGCCCCACCAGGAATATTCCCATCTCAGACTTCCTTCATCAGTCATGATCCCCCATCTACACTGTATCAAGCTTCCTTCATATATATGTCTGCTAGCTCTCTAACACTATATATACACCAACGGTCATCTCCCTAACACTATATATACCAACTGCTATCCCCATAAACGTCTACAAGCCAACCGCAATTCAACTGACCCTACTGAATATACAAGTTGCTAACCCCTTAAACCTATATATGCCAACCGCAATTCAACTGACCCTACTGAATATACAAGTTGCTAACCCCTTAAACCTATATATGCCAACTGCCATTCAACTAACCCTACTATATATACCAGCTGCTAACCCCTTAACCTATACATGCCAACTTCCATTCAACTGATCCTACTATTCAACTAACCCTACTATATATACCAGCTGCTAACCCCTTAACCTATACATGCCAACTTCCATTCAACTGATCCTACTATTCAACTAACCCTACTATATATACCAGCTGCTAACCCCTTAAACCTATACATGCCAACTGCCATTCTACTGACCCTACTATATATACCAGCTGCTAACCCCTTAAACCTATACATGCCAACTGCCATTCTACTGACCCTACTGTAACGGACCGTTTTGCACAAAAGGGGTTAACAGCCGTTTAGGAGATCCTCCCCTTCCAGAGATACAGGCACAGCTACTGCAGAACACCAAACTCCCGAACTGGATACAAAATAGCACTCCAACTCCTGAACTGGAACCTCCCAAATAGCTGCTAGCAGACAAACAGCTTACACTCCTGGCAATCAGTCTCTAACAGCATACAGTGAATCCCCCAAGAACGAGACAAGGCTCTGTATTGAGGGTCAAGCAGTGGTCTGAGGTGCTGGCACACCCAGCCTGGTTTTTATTACAGTCTTGCAAATACAGGACCGCCCACAGGGAGGTATAAAACAACCAATCACATATCAGTTACATCCCACATATTCCCTCCCCTTATCCTGAGAGGAAACTCAATTACACATACAGTTAAAACATACTTTCTACCCAACTTTCATAACTCTAAAACCATACATCACATTGACATAAAATTACATATTCACAATCAATCCATTCAGGGGAACAACATATTACAAAATGGCATGAATCCGACCAGGGGTTCAAAAGTTAGTAAACGTATCTTTTGGGCCCTGGCTGGCACATGGATATCTGGCTCAAACAGGTTTTACAGAGCCCTCTATTCTGGAGACAATGGGGGAAAGTAATCCAATTATCCAGGGATAGAGGCAGACTCCATTGAGCACATGGTTGCAAAAAGACATAAAACACTTTAAAATACATAAAGTCACCTTTTACACATAACACACAGACATTTCACATATCCCCAGATAGCTGGGATCTGAGCGCACAAAACTACCGAATAGCGCTCAGATCCTATTCACACAGTTCAATTGCCATGGAGCCGAAGTCTTTAACTACACGAATGGGCTCCATGGCATAGCTATCTGGGTTAACACATTTACATAAAGTTTGGTCCATAGTCCAAAGGCAGCATGCGGGCAGCCAGGCTTCTCCAATGCAATATGGCGAGATTGCTCTCGTCACACCTACCATTCAATTAACCCTACTATATATACCAGCTGCTAACCCCATAAACCTATACATGCTAACTGCCCTTCAACTAACCCTACTATATATACCAGCTGCTAACCCCTTAAACCTATACATGCCAACTGCCATTCAACTAACCTTACTATATATATCAGCTGTTATCCCCTTAAACCTATACATGCCAACAGTCATTCAACTAACCCTACTATATATACCAGCTGTTATCCCCATAAACCTATACATGCCAACAGTCATTCAACTAACCCTGCTATATATACCAGCTGCTAACCCCTTAAACCTATACATGCCAACTGCCATTGAACTAACCCTACTATATATACCAGCTACTAACCCCATAAACCTAAACATGCCAACTGCCATTCAACTAACCCTACTATATACACCAGCTACTAACCCCATAAACCTAAACATTCCAACTGCCATTCAACTAACCCTACTATATATACCAGCTGCTAACCCCTTAAACCTATACATGCCAACAGTCATTCAACTAACCCTGCTATATATACCAGCTGCTAACCCCTTTAACCTATACATGCCAACTGCCATTCAACTAACCCTACTATATATACCAGCTGCTAACCCCATGAACCTATACATGCCAACTGCTATTCAACTAACCCTACTATATATACCAGCTTTTATCCCCTTAAACCTATACATGCCAACAGTCATTCAACTAACCATGCTATATATACCAACTGCTAACCCCTTAAACCTATACATGCCAACAGCCATTCAACTAACCCTACCATATATACCAACTGCTAACCCCTTAAACCTATACATGCCAACAGCCATTCAACTAACCCTACCATATATACCAACTGCTAACCCCTTAAACCTATACATGCCAACTGCCATTCAACTGACCCTACTATATATACCAGCTGCTAACCCATAAACCTATACATGCCAACTGCCATTCAACTAACCCTACTATTTATACCAGCCAACTGCCATTCAACTAACCCCTATTATACCCTGCTATCCCCATAAACCTATACATGCCAACTGCCATTCAACTAACCCTACTATATATACCAGCTACTAACCCCTTAAACCTATACATGCCAACTGCCATTCAACTAACCCTGCTATATATACCAGCTGCTATCCCCATAAACCTATACATGCCAACTGCCATTCAACTAACCCTACTATATATACCAGCTACTAACCCCTTAAACCTATACATGCCAACTGCCATTCAACTAACCCTACTATATATACCAGCTGCTAACCCATTAAACCTATACATGCCAACAGCCATTCAACTAACCCTACTATATATACCAGCTGCTAACCCCATAAACCTATACATGCCAACTGCCATTCAGCTAACCCTACTATATATACCAACTGCTATCCACCAACTTTATATAGCACCAACACATTTGCAGCGTCTTACAATATTAAAAATGCAACAATAAATGAGACAATTACAAAATGTTATATCTACGATAGGTTGATGAGGACCATGTTGGAAAGAGCTTAGGGTATATTTCCCTTTCAGTTGCATAAGACTTGATTGTATCAAACCTCATCTGTATTTCACCCATATGTTTTAAACCTCCCTCATCAGGATAATCCCACCCACCTCAATGTGTCTGGGGCTCACAGACATTCCATGTTCTTCAGGACTTTATGTTGATTGGAGGTACCAGAAATGTCTCATCTCGTTTATATGAGACACCTATCATTAATACTTTATCACCTATTGTTTCTGTTTCGTCAGTAATAGTTTCCAGTATGTGTGCTCAATGGCTGTCTCACAGGTATTTTATGCATGTATGAGATATATATTTCTACCCTCATCAGAATCATTTAATCCATTTGGTTACATTCTAGCTCTTGATTTATTCACGGATTCATTTCATCTTTACTCGTTTCATGGTTCCATAGAGCACTTTACCAGAAAGAAGACAAGGATTAAGATCTCACAGAGCTCTAGATAGGTTACCAATTCACTCTTTGAACAGGGATGGTTGATGAATCCAAGAAAATTTATGTTTCTTTGGCCTTCTTTGGCCTTGTCTAACCCCTGGGCCCTATGTGTCTGTCTGTGGTTGCGGACAACCACATGCTCTGCCACATGGAAACATATTATCTGCAGGAGATACATCTAATTTCCTGTAGCTATCATACAGTTCTGATTAAACTGAGCACATGGCTCTCTGTTACAGTATTTCTTGAGTCACAGTGAGGGAAATTTAATTTAATGAGCATGCATCCAGAACACTCAATACAATTAGGACACATGATTTCAAGTATATAAAGCATATATAACTATAAAGTAAATTATATTCAGAAGATCACTCTTGTAGTAGATGTTCCTGTGTAACCACTAGAGGGCCCTAGGAGCTGAGTACCTTGTTATCAGTAACCATTCTAACCATCAGTAAGCAGTAGTCCGTCTCTATGCCTGCCTCCCCGTTATAGTAAACAGATGTAAATGTAACTCCGCCCCTCAAGGCTAAAATTTCCAACATTCCATATGACCAAAGAGGGACAGATAATTCCAGAGCATGGTAATTGACTTCACGATTTACTGAGCACCAGAGGGGGACCCAGCCACGGGAGGGGGACCCTGAGGGTGGGGGTACCCTTAGGGCACTATAATGTCAGGAAAAATGCTTTGTTTTCCTGACACTATAGCGATCCTTTAATGTTAAAATACACCTACCATTAAAATTATAGACTGAGTATTTCTTTGTCAGTGGGCAATATGTTCAGAACATACCACTGATGTCAACTGTCAGACCTCGCTCATTACTTGGATTCAATCAATCAGCAACACCTTATCACTAATAACTACCCTATCTCAGACACATCACTAATAGCTCATCTCCATCAGTTCTGTGTGACCTCACTCAATATTATTTATCCAATCTTGGCTGTGTGAGACATAAATGGCAATCAGTAAATCGTGAAGTCAATTACCATGCTCTGGAATTATCTGTCCCTCTTTGGTTATATGGAATTTTGGAAATTTTAGCCTAGAGGGGCGGAGTTACATTTACATCTGTTTACTATAACGGGGAGGCAGGCATAGAGACGGACTACTGCTTACTGATGGTTAGAATGGTTACTGATAACAAGGTACTCAGCTCCTAGGGCCCTCTAGTGGTTACACAGGAACATCTACTATAAGAGTGATCTTCTGAATATAATTTACTTTATAGTTATATATACTTTATATACTTGAAATCATGTGTCCTAATTGTATTGAGTGTTCTGGATGCATGCTCATTAAATTAAATTAAATTGACCCATAAGGCTCGATAGTACATCTTGGCTTAAAGCTATACGATCCATAATTCTACTAAACATTTCTGATTATAACATTTCAAATAGCGTCTGAAAATACTGAAGGACTTATAGAACTTAACACACAGGACGATGGTATGTGATACATCGTTACACTACAAGAGCTTTAGTACCATTCACCCTAGAATAAACATGTCTTATTGGGGATATGCTAATATCATACTTTACATAACCTTTAAATGCAAATATTCCACAATAGATGAAATAGCTATTAAAATATTAGCCAAACAGATCAAAATGATTGTATCAAATGTATTACATGTCTTTAAAGATCTTGAGTTCTTTTTTCCCTAATCACAATCTTAATGTAATTATTAAAATGTTATAAAAATCTGCTGCTTTGGAGGCTTCAGGTTGTGTCTCCACCTGTTTGGATCAATATGATTAGAATTTTTATTTCAGCCCATATTAGCAATTTACATGTCAAGGGATTGAGTCACGTATGGTATAAGGAGGGGGACAGTGAGAAAAAGAAATATGTCGAGTTTTTATCAGACTTTTTATAAGATGATCGCTATTGAGAATCTACCCAATTTTGCAATGCACCAGTCCATGTCGGCAGGGTCACAAAGAGTTTTTGTTCCTTCGTCTACCTGTCCCTTCGTGTCTCTGTATTTATTTTTTGAATGATAGAATTTCCTTTACATTTTCTGGTGGCTATTAAGAGGAGACCTTTGTCTCCGCATGTTGATGAATTGAGTGGATCTTTTTCTATGTATTACTCCTCTGCAAATAGATTCTAAAACTCTGGCTTTTTTTATTCTTTATTTAAGCGTAACCAGATAAATACACAAACTAAGCGTACTGCATCATGTAGATTGCATTGCGTACATGAACATCAAAGTTTTCAGCTGGAGATGTACATTAGGAAAGAAAATAATTTTGTTGTGTTAATTACCAAATTTCAATTCGTCTGGAATTCAGAAAATATCAATTCAAACTAACTAAATTTTTTACTGAAAATATTGTTAATTTCCTGAATTTAACAGGAAATTATGAAGGTGGCAGTCACATAGTACTAATTTAAGGAGTCATCTGTTAAACTGCTGAAATCCCATATCTTATGGTTGCTCTTACAGCTGAGTAGCAGATAACTCCCGAACTTGTCCTTACATGGAATTGCCAAAAGGATACCAATAACCTAATGTGGCAAACTCCCTTTTTTACCTGAGTTTGCCAAGAGCTCCTGGAGGAGCCTGCTTGCCAGCCTCCTGCCCATAGACTATGGACCCTGTGAAAAATAATGTAAAAAGTCTCTGTTCGTGCTATTAGGATTATATGGACAAACCAGAGACTACTCTGGAGCTTGTTTACACCTATTAACACCTTGGAACGTTTCTCACTGCAGTGTTCTAATTGTTCGTCTGGGTTGCCGCAATTCCTATGAACAACCACAAGGTGGCAGCCATCTTGTTCGCATGAACGCAGGCAGCGGTGTCTGGGCATGAATCTCCTGGAACTAAAATCAGCTACAGAAACTCCAGAACACCGCTGGACTTCCATCATCGCCTGTGTTCAGTTTTATACCAGCTGGAAGAGCACTGTTCGGTAGGATCATTCGTCTGGATGAAGGGAACAAGCTCCAGGTTAAGACTATTGACTGTGTTCGGTAGTTTGTTCATTTTTAAACTACCGAACTAGACCGACCGCAAGCCCTGATTCTCTGGAACTGTTTTGGGCATGGGACCATGCTTGCGGTCGGTCAAATAAAGGACTTCCATGGAATTTTTGAACCTTTGCTCTGATCTGGGTTATTTTTGGATATGTTGTTCACCCAGATCAGGGCTATCAGGGGATTTATGGGGATATGCTGTGTTTTGGGGTACTTTTGGGACTTTTTTAAAAAGTGTGGTTTTTCTGCCTGGAGATAATTGAGTTCATACAGTAATTAACTCAATTATCTCCCAAGCAGAGGGGAGGGATTGTTTGCCTTGTGTGGGAGTGTGTATGTCTGAGTGATTTTGTGTGTCTGGCTATCAGTGTGTATGTGAGTGATTGTGTATGTATGTCTGTCAATGTGTATGTGAGTGATTGTGTATGTCTGGCTGTCAATGTGTATGTGAGTGATTATGTATGTATGTCTGTCAGTGTGTATGTGAGTGATTGTGTATGTCTGTCAGTGTGTATCTGAGTGATTGTGTGTGTCTGGCTGTCAGTGTGTGTATGTGAGTGTGTGTATGTCTGTCAGTGTGTCTGTCACTGTGTGGCTGTCTGTCAGTGAGTGAGAGTGTGTGTGTGTCTGCAGGGACATGTCTTCTGCGAGGCAAACAAGGCATCTGCCTTGGGCAAAAAAAGCCGCCCCCCAAACGCCCTTGCTTGCCTCGCGTCCTGGGGGGTTTAAGGGCTGGCCGGATGTGGGCAGCAAGGGAGCATACTTACCTGAGCACTTCCTGCTCAGCTCCCTCCACGCCACTTAATGAAGCCGGAATATGACATCTGACCGGCTCCCGGCATCACTAAGCGCCGCCAACTCAGTCTGTATGTCCGACCAGCAGGGAGGCTGGGTGGATATAAAATATAAATAATAATTTGTAAGTGTTGGGAGAAATGTGTATGTGACTGTAAGTGTGTATGTGTTTGTGTGTGTGTCTGTGAGTGAATGTGAGTGTGTATGTGTCAGTCAGTGAGTGCGTGCGTCTGTCAGTGTGTGCGTCTGTCAGTGTGTGTTCAAGTAATAGTGTGTGTGTATGTCATTGTTTGTCAGTGTATATGAGAGTGTGCGTCTGTCAATGAGTTTATGCGTCTGTCAGTGAGTATGCATCTGTCAAAGTGCGGCCTTGACAGGAAGGGATGGGGAAGATTTAAACTGGGGGGGTGCCCGAGCACTGTCCTGTCTAGGGAAGCCCAAATCCTAAATACACCACTGCACCTGCGTGTCGCCCTTGTTGGAAAACTTGCATTAAAGGCCAGTGTGCCTCCATTAAAATCCTATTCCAGCTTACATTCCAAAACTTTGTGTCGTCCTGTTATTGGAGTAAAAGAAGATGTACTCCTATGTCTGCTGTTCTAGCTTGCAGGGGATTCAATAGGGAAAGGACTAGAGCTCCCAGGACTGAGTGTCGTTCAGTGCTCGGGGGTGTCTAGAGCTAATTCCCCATTCGGCTCCAGGAAGGAGCGGTTCCAGGGCCCCAGTCAAGCCACGGCAACTGAGGGCAAGAGTTTGTCCCCTGTTCCAGCTAGGAAGCGGTCCTTGGCGGAGGTCCTCAGCCAGGGGTACAGGGAGCTCTGTTGGAAATTAAAGCAGCTATCTGCTAAACAGCACCCTACTTTGGTATCCTTAAATATGACTGTAGCGAACCACATAGGAACCCGACCGGTTACCTCCGCTAATTCCCTTCATTCAGCCGATCAGTAACCATTTAAAATATGAAGAGACCCATTTCCCCCCAGTAACTGGATGACACACAGTTCTGGAGATACAACTTTGACAATCTTTATTGAAAACATGCTTCTTTTATGCACAAACCCCTCAGGGCATCTCCATTAATTCAGTACAAATTCCTCAGTCCCAGGCTGGTGGGGGATGGCTTACAGCAGATAACCATCTCCCGCTCTCGGAGATACCAACTGGACAATAGTTACACACATTAAAACATAGTACATACAGGGCCGACATTTAGGGGCTCCACGCCCCGGGAAGGGAAGGGGTCACACATGTCAGACACATATCACTGGATAGCCCTAGGTCCCCTCTGGGATCCCAGCAAATAGTGGGGCTATCGGATGTACAGAGCCCAATAATTCATCTAAAGTCTGGGGCTCAAGGCTCTGTACATCCCCAAAATTAGTTCCAGGGAGTTGCTTGGTTTACAAAAAACAAAACCAACAGTGTGTCAGCGCTATAGGATATAACAAATATAGTAAGGCAGCACTCGATCCCGGTGATACAGAAGTATACACAAATACAAAGAAAAATTACCACAAAAGCGCCCTAAACTGATCTGAAAATATAGAAAAACAGAGAATAGTGCAGACCATCTGAACTAAACAAAGTATATATAGGGGGATATGAGGGAAAAAAACTCACATTGACCAGAGCCCTATCACCCCTGGCTCTGGGTTTGTAATGCTTCACTTGAGAGGGAAAATTCCCACACTGATAGGCTTCCAAATGGTGTGTTCATTTGAAGACTGGTTAAGTTGCTTGGATTAGTCCGGTGAATTCAAACTTTGCGCCTAAACCAAGCAACAACCAATCAGCTGAAAGGGCGCTAATCAACTTGCGCCAATCAGCGCTCAGGGAGGAGAGGTGTTTCACCACCAAATCCGAAGAAAGGGTGCGAAACTTGGTTGCACCAATCGGCGCTCTGGAGGAGAGAGGTTTTGGCGCATGTTACGGTTGCCCCAGGCATGTTACAGTTGCTCCTAGGACCATCAGCACCGCAACAGACACCATAAGAACTGCAGCCCCATGAACCGCCGCAGCTTGGTTGGGGTCTCGCCATCTTTACCCACCCTGGACCTACGACAAGGCTCCAGTGGGTGAACATCTCTTCCTTCTGAGAGTGAAGCAGGAATAGGAACAAGCTCTTACAAGAGCTCAGTGAAGCTAAGGCAGTATGAAGAGCATAGCAATCCCTGTAGTGATTATAGCTGTCCCCTCCATACACGAGTCAAGGCTGCGAGTTGAGGGTCAAGTAGAACTGCTTTAATAAGGCATTTCTTATATACAGTTTTCCTCACAAAGTTACCATCCACGTGGACCTTGTGGAGCACAGGACACAAAATCACAACAGCCAATCAACACGGTAGTGTACAGTTAGACACTCCCAGCTAATGTACACAAACCCTCCCCTCTGCCTGTGATACAATTACCAAACACAATGGACTATCTTAATTACCACAGGCAGAAAATATACAGTTTTTCCCAAAGTCCAGAAACAATCCAAAACAACAACATATCCCCACAAATTATACATCCCTAGATAGCTATGATCTGCGTGAACAACATATCCGAAAATCACTCAGATCAGAGTAGGGGTTCCCGAATTCGATGGAAGTCACATTTGACTGACACCAAGCATGGCTTTCATGCCTAAAATAGTTCCACAGATTTAGGCTGTGCGGCCTGTCTATCTTCTCCTTCAAAAAAAAAAAAAAAAGGTACAAATTGCACAAACGGATCCCAGAAATAGTGCTCCGTTCGTATGAATTTAGCCAAACGCACGGAAGATAGAAGTCTCAGCGGTGTTCGTGGAAATAGTAGCCTAAACAGTTCCAGGCGTTCAATGACAAAACACCGCTGAGCGCGTTTGGCTAAACAAAATGGCCGCCGCTACATGTTTGTTCATACGAACGCCGGCCACCCAGCCGTTCGTCAATTAAGCTGCGGTTAACCACAGCTTCTGGGTGGTTAACGAGCAGCACACTCCACATGCAGAGTGGTCGGCTGTTTGACGGTTTGTTCAGTAAAATCCATTTACCGAACCACACAGAGAAAAAGGCACAAACAAGCCTTTTTACAGTGCTGGAACAAAGTTTTAGCCATGGGCCATAGTCACACGGCAGGAGGCTGGCAAGCAGGCCCCTCCAAAAGATAGTGGTAAAGGGCAGTTCGGCACACTGCACAATCAGACAAAAGGGCACAAAACCCCGTTTGGGAGACGCTCCTTCTCTTTTTGGTCGCTTGCGCCCCGCAGCAACCAATCAGCGCTCCCTCATGTTTACTAATCAGGAGAATAATGCAAATGCACTTTTAATGGGAGCGCCTTCTCCCATTGGTCGGCACATACTTCCAGACGGCCTACTCTGTGGCTGTGGATCTGGCACACGCCTCTTCCGGCGGCCGCCTCCACTGAGGCAGACCCCGTGGGGAGCGCTCTTTGGGCAGCTACAAGCCTGGCCTCGCAGCCCCCGGGTAGGATGTGACAAGGCCAATCTCGCCACTGTGCATTGGAGGAACCTGGTTGCCCGCCTGCTGCCTTTAGACTATGGTCCCATGTTGAAACGCTTGATTTTCCCCTGCAAAGACACAAAAGCCGGGTCATTCGGTACTTGCCCTATTTGAACATTGATACCCCAGATAGCTATGCCATGGAGCCCATTCGTATAACGAAAGACTATGTGAAAGACTTTAGCTCCATGGCAATTGAACTGTATGTATGTGATCTGAGCGCCATTCAGTAATAATGTGCGCTCAGATCTAAGCTATCTGGGGATATGTACCTGTTTTATGCAATAGCTGCACAGTTATATATTTTTATGTATTTTATTGTCTTTTGCTACCATGTGTTCAATTGAGTTTTGCCTCTGTCCTTGGAGATAATTGGATTACTTCCCAATTATCTCCAGGATAGAAGACTCTGTGGAACTGGTTTTGGGCAGAAAAGCCATGCTTAATTTGGTCACAAAGTACTACGATCTATCTTTTGAACCACTGGACCAATTTGTATGATTTTGACTATGTTTGTACTTGGAGTATGCTAATTCTGAAAATGTGAATGTGATGCATACTTTTAAAATTATGAATAATGTGGAAAAACTGTATTTCTCTGCCTGTGATAATTACATTACCCATTGTGTAAGGTAATTGTATCACAGGCAGAGGGAAGGATTTTGTGTGGGAGTGTCTGAGTGTATTGTTTACTGGTTGTTTTCCAATACCCTGTGGGTGGTACTAATGTGTAAGAATGTGTATATAAGAACAATAAACCCACAGCTCTGTCGGTTTCTGCTTGACCCTCAAAACGGAGCCTTGTCTCGTTCTTGGGGGATTTATTGTATGCTGTTCCAGTTCGACTGCTAGGAGTGTGTGACGAAGTGCCCTTCGCCACTTGGTCTTGGAGAGGCCTGCTTGCCAGCCTCCTCCCCTGTGACTATGACTCTTTCATGTATTTGGCTTTAAAGCCCCTAGTCTACCTTCAGACAGACTATTTATGTAGGCTGCTTTATTTATCTTATGTTTTAGTCACCCTGTACCCATTATAGGTGCAGGGTGTGTGTAATATAATTGTTTATAGGGTGTGTGTACTGTGAACTGTATTGCCTGCTCTCCTGTACTGCTGAGGTTTGCTACCAACTAGGTGCGTTTGGCTATGGAGCTTGTCTAGTGCCCTCTGTTGTTAGCAACAGCAATATACACTACCTGAATTGCAAGACTGGTTCATTTGTATATTTGGGTAGATTTGCATATTGCTAATTCTGCAGGCAGGTGAGATATTTACTGTTAAATATTGTCTCCCCCACCCCTTTAAAAATGTGCCATTGTGTTGTGATAAGTCACTGTGTGTTGCCTGCTATGGTTTGACTGTTTGTGATTTTATTGAGGTTTCACAGCAATGTTAATGTTGTGACCCTATGGGCTGGTCCCAAGGGAAATAAAGGTTTAGACAGTTCTTCTTGATCCCTCTAAACGTAGCCTTGTCTCGTTA